TCACTGATTTGAGACCTTTCTTTCTAATATAAGCATTTAAATTTTCTGCTGATATTGCTTTAGCTGCCTCTCACAGATTATTCACTTAAAAATATTTTTGAATTCTCCTTATAATTTCTTCTTTGAGCAAAGGTTATTTAGAAATATATTGTTTACCTTTCAAATATTTGTGGATTTTGCTGATAGCTTTTAATTTCACTATGGACAGAGGGATACGGTATGATTTCAGTTCTTATAGAGACCTGTTTTGTGGCCCAGAATATGAAGAAAAACTACACATTCTGCTTTTGTTGGGTGGAGTGTGCTATAAATAGTTCAAGTTGGCTGATAAGTTTGTTTTGGTCTCCCATATTATTACTGATTTTTTGTTGAATTGTTCTACAAATTGTTGAGATAAGAATGTTGAAATCTCCAGCGATGGTTGTGGATTTGCCCATTCTTTTTTCAATTCTGTCATTTTTTTCCTTCATGTGTTTTGTAACTCTATTAGTAGGTGCATGTACATTTAGGGTTGTTATGTCCTCTTGATGAATCAACTCCTTTATTATTATGAAATGTCCCTTTTTATCTCTGGCAGTATTCCTTGTTCTGAAATCTGCTTTGTCCAACATCAATAGAGCTGCTCCAGCTTGCTTTTGATCATTTTCTGCATGTTTTATCTTTTTTCTATTTTTTTTTTACCTTTACCTGTTTGAGTCTTATATTGAAATAGGTTTCTTATAGGTAGGATATATATGGGTATTGTTTTTTAAATCCAATCTGACCATCTATGCCTTTTTTTTTTAAACTCCATATTGTTCTTAGAAACAAACAAACAAGCAAACAAAGATAATCTAAGGAGTGAAAAACAAAACAAAACAAAACTGGAGAACCAACCTATTAATCTTCTCAGAAAGATAGAAAATACCACACTCAGAAAGTTGGAAAAGACTGTTATGTAGATAGATAGATAGATAAATAGATAGATATTAAGAATTATAAGAGCTCTTCAAAATATGCCAGAATAACTATTCAGGGACACCTCGGTGGCTCAGTTGGCTAAGCATCTGCCTTCAGCTCAGGTGATGATCCCAGGGTCCTGGGATCGAGCCCTGCATTGGGCTCCTTGCTCAGCGGGAAGTGTGCTTCTCCCTCTTCCACTTCCCCTGCTTGTGTTCCCTCTCTCACTGTGTGTGTGTGTCTCTCTCTCACAAATAAATAAATAAATAAAATCTTAAAAAAAACTATTCAGTGAGAGAGCTGGAAGATGAAGGCAGTCTCTCTGAAAGCAGAACCCAAGCACTCCATGGTTGATGTTAACATACACGCATACATACAAATAGATAGCTTATGGACATATATAAAATGAAGGGGAGATCTTAAGAAAAAATTTCAGAACTGCAAGACCAGTGGTTCCAAACCAAAAGAAAGTTGCAAGGAATGTCTAGAAAATGGGTAATAAAGACCCATCCAGGATACATCATCACAAAATTTTAAATACTAGAGATAAAAGATCCTAATAGCTACCATTTATCCCCTCCCCAACCCCTGGTTGAGTTTATTTCGTTTGTTTCTTTTTATCTTTTGGTCCTCTTCAGCCATTTTTCTCACCTTGCCTCTTGCAACCACCAATCTGCTTGTTCTTTGTATCTATGAACTTATTTTTTGTTTTCATTTTATTTGCTTTAGATTCCACATAGAGGAGAGATGATAAAAGTATTTGTCTTTCTCTGTCTTACTTATCTCACTTAGTATATTGTCTTCAAGGTCCATCCATGTTGTTGAAAATGGCAAGATTTCATTCTTTTTTATGGCTGAATGATACTCCACTGTGTGTGTGTGTGTGTGTGTGTGTACATATACATCTTCTTTATCCATTCATCTATCAATGGACACTTGGGTTGTTTCCATATCTTGGCTATTGTAAATAATGCTGCAGTAAACATAGGGGTGCATATATATGTTTTCAAGTTAGTGTTTTCTTTTTTGCATAATACCCAGAAGTAGAATTGCTGAATTATGTGGCATTTCTATTTTTTGAAAGATTTATTTATTTATTTATTTTAGAGAGAGAGAAAGAGCACAAGCATGAGGGACAGAGGGAGAAGGAGAGAGAATCTCAGGCAGACTCCATGCTGAGCATGGAGCCCAACATAGGGGTCTCATGACCCTGAGATCATGACCTGAGCTAAAACCAAGGATTGGATGCTTAACTAACTGTGCCACCCAGGCACCCCTTCTATTTTTAATTTTTGAGGAACCTCCATACTGTTTTCCACAGTGGCTGTACCAATTTACATTCCCACCAGCAGTGCATGAGGGTTCCCTTTTCTCCACATCCTGACCAACACTTGTTATCTCTTGTTGATTTGATAATAGCCATTTCTAATCTCTGCCTTTTAATTGGAGTATTAAGATCATTTCCATTTAATGTGATTATTTGGTTGGATTTAAATCTAAGATCTTGCTGTTTATTTTTTGTCTCACCTGTTCTTTGTTCCCTTTTTACTCTTCTACCTTCTTTTGTTGGAGTATTTTTTATGATGCCATTTTATTTTGACTGTTGGCTTAAACTCTACCTCTTTATTTTGTTTTGTTGTGTGTATGATAGCTTTAGCACTTATAGTATATATCTTTAACTTACCACTGTCTACTTTCAGATAATATTTCACTTCATCTATATCATAAAAATCTTACAACTTCCATTGCCCCTTCTGTCTTTTCTACTGTTGTCCTACACTTTATTTCCATATGCGATAAACCCACAATACATTATAATCAACTGTCATATAAATAGACTTAAAATGAGAATTAATATATTTTGTATTTATCCACATATTTGATATTTCTGTGGCTCTTTATTCTTTTGTATAGATCCTTGTGCAGGTTTGTTGGTAACAAAGTGCCTTAGCTGTTTTAGTCTGAAAGACTCTAATTTACTTTTACGTTTGGGAGATTTTTTTTTGTTTTGCTTTATATAGAATTGTAGGTTTACAGTTTTATATTTCAGTACTTTAAAAATATTTCTCCATTGTCCTTTGCCTTGCTTGATTTATGATGAAAACTCTTATATTATTTTTATGTTGTCTCTGGGTGCTTTTTTTAATCTTTATCATTGAATTTCAAATTATATACTATGTGTGTTGGTGGGTTTTTTTTTCCATTTTTCTTCTGTTTAGGTTGTTTGAGCTTCTTGTATATATGGGTATATTGTTTTATCAAAATCAGAAACATTTGGCCATATTTCTCCAAATATTTTTTCTGTTTCCCTCTTTCTCCTTTTTCTTAGTCTCTACACATATGTTAGGCTCCTTGATGTTGTTCTATGGGTTGCTTATTCTCTATTTTTTTTAGGCTTTTTCTCTGTGTTTCATTTTAAATTGCTTCCTATTGCAATGTCCTTTTTAAGGTTCCCTGATCTTCTGCTAGTGTAATGTCTGTTAATACCATGTAGTGTATTTTTAATTTTGGTAATTGTACATCTCTGTAAGTTTCCTTTTGTACTTTCCATTCCTTTCCTTGTTCTGCTTATACTTTACCTTGCTGAACATATGGATTATATTTATAATAGCTGTGTAACATCCTTTTCTACTAATTCCAGTATTTGTGTTATTTTAGGGTCTGTTTCTGTTGATCTGTTTTTCTTCTGGTTATGGGTCATATTTTCCTGCTTCTTTGCATGGCTCGTAATTTTTTACTGGAATGCAGACATTTTGAATTTTACATTCTTGGGTCCTGGATTTTGCTGTATTTTTAAAATACATGTTCTTTGATGCAGTTATGTTCCTTGGAATCACTTTGATCCTCTGGGGCTTGCTTTTAAGTTATGTTAACATAGGTCTAGGTCAGCCTTTAGTCCAGGGCTAATTTGCTTCTACTACTAAGGCAATACCCTTATGAGGACTCTCCTTGATGTCCCATGTATTAAGGAGGCTTTCCCCCTCTGGTTGTTTGGAAGATGAAGTAGCCCTGTGTAAGCTCTGAGGTGTTGATCTACTTACTCCTTTATGGTGATTTGTTCCTTAGCTTTAGTAGTTTCTTCACATGCATGCCGTGATCATTACTTAAACAAAATCTTTAGGGTACTCTCTGCAGATGGCCAGAGCCCATTCTCTCTCCCCTTTTTTTCTCTCTTTCTCCATCCCTTCCCACCCTCTCTGCTTCTATGCAGCAACCTCTTCTTCGTTATTTTGCCTACAAATTCTAGTTGCTTAGCCTTGGTGAACTCTGAACTCAGTTTCAAGTATTTTTTCCATCTGCTCTGCTCCCTCCTCCAGGTCTTGGCTGAGGCTGTGAACTTAATTTACATCCTGTTATGGGAGCCTGAGTCCCAATCACAGAAGCAGTCCTGCTCATACAACTGTCTGATGCTTAGTTATTGTAGGGATCTGGTGTTGCTTGATATTGTCCATAAGCTTCACTGAAGCTTCAGGAATGTGCTGGCATTACTAACTTGACTGTAGTCAGCAGGGTTAAAAGAACAAATGGTCTGAAGTCATAACTGAGGAAGTAATTTACTTTTGGCTTTGGAACCCAGTATTGGATTTATTTTTCGGTCCTATTGATTTTCCTAGTTCTGTTTTACTTGGATTGATGATGGAGAAGTGGAGGGGGTTAGTGATGAGGGAGCCAGCCCAAATGTAGGATTTTCCACAGAAAACCCTCCAAATGAGTAATCTACTCCCAGAAGATTGTGCATAACCAACACAGCACAGCTTGGCCTTTGTAGATGTATTATTAAGTTCTTAGGAAGATGCTGACATTGCCCACAGGCTCTAAAAATTCACTTTCAACCTATTTCCTGCCTAGGATTAAGTGGCTACAGGATAGAAGTCAAATCCTCTTTGGAAAAGTACGTAATGAATGCATCTATGTCCTCATTGATACATCTCACTCAATGAAGAGCAAACTGGACTTGGTGAAGGACAAGATCATCCAGTTTATACAGGTTAGATGGAGCTGTCAGGTGCATGGATTTGGGGGCCTTTGTATCATGAATGCATCTGCAGCAGCCTTCACCTGCACTGGTTATGAGAGGTACACAGGTGAGGTTTGCACTCAGACATCCACAGGAAAGCCACCTTAGATAAAAGCTCCCTTTTACCAGTTAGAGAATCATCAGTTCTCTTTCGCAGGCAGACCCTTCCTGTGGCAGGGTCCTTTCTGTAACACATGGGTTACTAAGGGAGTTTCAGTGTCCACTGCTTCATGTTTCCTCTGTCCTGAAACCTGTGGTGTGCACACATCTCCATTGTTTTCCAGATGCTCTTCAGCTCAGCATTTTTATTTTAATTTCCAGTATTTATTAGCAGTGTTGCATGCACTGGCCCCAGAACTGATGTGTGGGAGGAGTGTAGGCTGATGCTTAGGAGCTTCCAGTTCCTATTCCACCTTTGGTGCCTCCGACTGTGTGACTTAAAGCAGACTGCTCTCCTAACTGCTAGCCCCCACACCTACAGATGGGTATCCTGGTACTGTCGCTAATTAATGGCATTGGTGGGAATGTTACCACAGAAGATTACTACGGGGAGTGTTTGCGAGTACAAAATACAGGTTTTAATTTGATAAGCCTGTACTGGAGAAATACGGGCTGGTAGAAGACAAGTGAATAGCCTTTACGAAAACATGATTACCAAAACAGTGACACCATTTTGGATTTCTCTTCTTTAAGCAGATTGCATTTCCTGTGAGTATGCGGTATACCATCAATGCTAGTATTAAAGACAACAACTTTTAATGCCATATTATATATAAAAACTTATGCATGTGTGTAACATATGTAATATATTCATACATACATACATTTGTAAAAGTGTAATCTCCAAACTGTGTAAATTTTATTTAAATATTTTTTGTACTGGAAAAGATTTTCTCTTTCGCATGTAATTTTTAGCTTCCAGAACTGAAAATAGATATCATAGTGACTAAAACTTATCAAACTATGACCTGTCTTAACCTTCTCTTACATCTGAGTGGTGTTACGGTTAAATAATAATTCTCTCTTACAGGAACAGCTGAAATATAAAAGGAAATTCAATTTTGTGCAGTTTGATGCCCAAGCAGTTGCTTGGCAGGAAAAACTTGTTGAAATCAATGAAGATAATTTGAGAGGGGCTCAGTCCTGGGTTAGAGACATTCAGGTAAGAAAGATGGAGGCCGGGTCTGGGGGAAGAAGCCTGACTTGATCACCTACTGAGTTAATTCATGCCATGGAAGTTCTTGAGAAAGGGCTCTGAGTGCCAAGATGGCAGGGGTTTTGCACACTCATTTTGTTTACAATAGTCACATTCATCTAAGCTCATGAGTCACTATCTTAACATTTAGATAAGACTTTGTTCACAAGACACCATTTCCAGAGCTGGCGTTGGCTCAGATCTCAGCCCCTTTATGAAGATAAATTTCAAAATTTAATTTTTTTGTACTCAAACCTTCAGATTTGATCTTTCTGAGACCTCGTTATTGTTTCAAGTAATATATTGCAGCTATTTTTGCCAGTGGATTTTGTTCCAAAGTAGTGAACTGATGGAAACACACAGAGAGAAGCTGGAGAGAGAGGGCAGCAGCAAGATACAGTGAGAAAGTGAAATAAATTCTTCAGTCCTGCCTTTTACTTGGAGAACCTTAAAGCTACCCCTCTTGGCATTTACACAGACTACTAGGAAGGAATTTCCTTTCCTTAAATCTTCTCTTGTCTTGAGCTTATCTTGATTTTTTAAAAGTTCTTTTTCCAGAACCATATAGCATTCCAGATATTTGAGATATGCTAAAATTGAAACTAATGGCTCTTCTCAAAAAGTCAGATGTAGATCACAGACATCTTTAGAATAGTTCAGTACCTGAGTTTAGAGTCCCAGATTTGACAGGGGGCCACAAATGGACACTAGTAAACCTCCTTGAATATTGCTTGTGCTGTCATTGGAATGTACCAGAATTCCCTTGGGATTGATTTTTTTTTAAAAATGGGAGAAGGGAGAAATAGATTCTGTAAGAAATAATGATGCCTGTAAGATCTTGATCTAACTGGCCACCTTATCCTGGGAAAGAATATCCAATTCATACCCAACTTGATAAATTTCCAGGATTAACCAGTGAAGTTACTTGAAATATATGCTCCCTCCTTTTACAGACCATAGGTAATAGTTAATTCAGAGCCCACTAATTTAGGGTTTGTCATGACAAGATATTATATATGTAATATCATTAGATAAAAACATTAATGGTGCTTCTTTATACAAAAATCACTAATGAGTAGAACCAGCCATCTAAATGGCTAAAAATCAAAGTATGATTCTGTTCTCTTCAAAAATCTTCATTGAAGCTCTCTTGCTCGCTTGCTGAATGTGCAAAATTTATTTTCAAGATGATCAGATTTCTCTATATTCTTTTGACTCTCTTGGCTCAGGAATCAATCCAGTGAATTCAGGACTACCACTCAGGTGTTCTGACAGTGCCATGTGCTGGTGTCGGAGCTGTAGTTCCTCGAGCAGGCATAGCCAGTCCTAGGGTCAGAGGAGCACAAGCTGGGGGCGGGGTCTGGGCCAAGGCTCCTGGGGGAGCAGGGAGGGAGCAGGTGCAAAAGAGGCACTAACTCCTGACCATCTTTCATGTGATTTTTAGTCTGGCTTTCTCCTAGCTTTTCTACCATCTTTTCAACATTCCCTGAACAGTGGGCTTGTCAACAAGACTATTGAGATGGGGCTCAGAAAGAAGAGTTGTACTGTTTATCATCTGAGCTACATTTCTGCTGCCCAAATGTTGAAGGAGTTTTTTGGTGTGTGTGTGTGTGTTTTTAACTTTTTAATTTTAAATCATTTTAGTCCTACAAAAGGGTGGCAGAGATAGTACAGAGGGTGCCTGTATTACCCTTCAGCCAGCTTCCCTAATGTTAACATCTGACATAGCCATAGTTCAATTGCCAAAGCTAAGAAAACCTCAGGGGGCACCTGGCTGGCTCAGTCCGTATAGCATGGGACTCTTGATCACAGGATCCTGAGTTTGAGCCCCATGTTAGTTTTAGAGCCTACTTAAAAAAAAAAGTCTATTTAAACAAAACAAAAACAAAAACTAAGAAAATCACATTGCTTCATTCACAGACTTCATTCAGAGTTCATTAGTCTTTTTACTAATGTTACTGTTCTGTTCCAAGATTCAATCCAGGGTCCCACATTGCATTTATTTTTTTTTTAATTTATTTATTGTCGAAATATAGTTGACATACAGTTTTATATTAGTTTCAGGTGTACAACATAATGATTCGACAATTCTATACATTACTCAGTGCTCCCCATGGTAAGTGTAGTCACCATCTGTCACCATGCGATATTATTACAATATTATTGACTATATTACCTCTGCTGTACTTTTCATCCCCATGACTTATTTATTTGATAACTGGAAGTTTCTATGTCTTAATCCCCTTCTCCTCTTTCACTCATCCCCCCATATTACATTTAGTTGCAGAGTCTCCTCAGTCTCTTCCAGTCTGTAACATGTCCTCAGTGATTCCTCATCTTTCATGACTTTGACGCTTTTGAAGAGTATTGATCAGGTGTTTTGAAGAATGTCCTTCAATTTAGATTTATCTCATGCTTTCTCATAGTTAGATTGGGGTTAGAATACCACAGAGGAGATGCGTCCTCCTCAGTGCATCATGTTGAGTAGTGTATGATGTTGATATGCCTTAATACTGGTGATGTTAACTTCGAGATTTGGGTAAGGTGGCATCTGCCAGGTTGTTCCCCTGTAAAGTTACTATTTTTTTCTTTTTATAGATAAGACATGTTTTGAATGAGATACTTTGAGGCTATACACATATCCTTTGTTTCTTAAACATTTACCCACTAATTTTAGCATTCAGTGGTAGATCTTCTCTACAAAATTATTACTGTGCTGTTCTAATGGTGACTTTCTGTTTCCTCCATTCCTTTTACATTTATGTATTAGAATTCTTCTGTAACTGAGTTTCCCCTTTCTCCCTTTTATTTATTCATCAATCATATTTATTTCATTATGGTCTCATGAATATTGATTTACTCTTTCAGTAATAATACTATTGCTATTTATTTTGTTACTAAGCTTGTTCCCACTTTGGCCATTGGGAACTCTTTTAGGTTGCCCCCTGTGTCCTTCACATATGCATCTAGCTTTTCTTTTTCTTGAATACTTCCTTACTTTCTGGCTCTATGAGATGTTTCATGATCATCTTCTAGTTTCCTAGCCTCAACCCTGGAGTTTACCACATCTCCAAAGAACCCTTGTTTCTTTTATTAGAGAATGGTGTTTCTAAACCAAAATCTGGGCATTGAGGTATGCTTATTGCTGCTACTGAACTCACTGCTTCTAGGTCCTCTCAGTGGAGAGAGATGGGAAATATATGTATAATATCCCATCTGTGCATAAGCGGCTATATTCCTGTATCTATTTATCTGTATTTTCATTAAAGAAGAAAAATAAAACCATGAGTTTATACTAATACCTCTTGCACCCATCCACAGCCAAGGATTTATTTGTCATGAATGTGTTTCCTTATTTGTAACTTCTTTGCCCATGAAAAACCTGATTATCGCTATCTGTAATGTATTTACTTTTTTGTTCAACCCTAGTATACATATAAAGTAGTTTCAGAATTTCTAACCCATACTCTGAGAAACAAATTTATCAGCTGGAGTGCACTGTTTACACATAATTCTTTCTCTCTTTAGCCTTACAGTTTCCAGTCAAAAAAACTGTTTTCTAAAGTTATTAAGGCAGGTACTTTTTTACCCAACTACTTCAGTGTGGTTATGTCATTCATTAGTACATTAGTTCCCCCATATCCTAGTTGAATTGTATTTTAATTTGTACACGGCACTCTTGTGGGTATGTGGGTCTATGGGTCTTGACAAATGCAGAGAGTCATGTATTTACACCTCTCTGACCAAAGGCACTGGCAAAAGGTAGGCCCAACAGTGATCTAGTGAGAATCCCCAAACTCCACTCCACAACCCAGGCCCTGGCACATAGTCCAGGTCATTGGAAGCAGTGGCGATAGTATAGCCATGGCTATCCCAGTCCCTGTTCTTCAACTCAGATCCTATCAAGTGGTCCAGTCTGCCGGCAGCGGCAAAAGCAGCAAAGCTCCAGCAGCCCAGTTGCCGTTTCACAACCCAAATCTGGAGGGCAGTCTGATCCATTAGAAACAATGGCAGCAGTAAGGTCCTCGGCCCCTCTTGCCCCCCATGCCACAGCACTGTACGAGTGGTCTGCTTGTTGGCAGCAGCAACAGTAGCAACATCCCAGGCTGTCTCACACTGCACTCCACGCCTGGGGTACGGGCAGGTGATCCCATACAGCTGTAGCAGTGGCAGCAGCAAAGCCTGGGGCATTTCTAAAACCAGGTCACCTGTAGATGGCATGACCTGCTAGCAACAGCAAAGTCCCTGATTGTCCCAGCTTCACAACTGGGGCACCAATGGGAAGTCCAATCCTGCAACAACAACAAAGGCAAAGCTTTGTGTCTTCCTGCTCTCAACTCAGCAGTATAAATAGAGTCAGGCTCAGCAGCTTCTGCTTGTATACCCCAGAAGGTCACCTAGCACCATTAGGCAGCCCAGAGACGTGCCTTTCCTGGGCTTCCTACAGACAGCACCAAATAGGAACTGAGTGGGAGCTCCAGCAGTACAAGAAGAACAAAGCAGACCAGAATAGGATTGCATGGGGTAGAAAATTAAATTGTCATTGGAACTAAAGCCCACAAACATAGGCTAAAATAAACATGCTAAACTTGAACAGGGTGACTGCCTGCTAAATGACATTTAAATGGGAATAATCTCCTAATATAGTAACCAAATTGTCCAGGACATAAAAAAATCACTCATCATACCAAGATCCAAGAAATCCACACTTGACTGAGAAGAGCAATCAACTGATGACAGTACCAACAGAGCCTCAGGGATCTCTGGGACAGTAAAAAAGAGGTAATATTCATACCATCAGAATTCTAGAAAAGAGTGTGGGACTGAAAAAGTATTCAAAGAAGTAATGGCTAAAAGCTCCCCAAATTTGGTTGACAACATAAAAAGTACAATTCAAGAACCTAAGCAAACCCCAAATAGGTAAAACCAAAGAAATCCATACCATGACACATTATATTTAATCTTCTGAAAACTAAAGACAAAGAAAAATCCTAAAAATAGCCAAAGAGAAATAACACATAAACTATAAAGGAATACCAATTCAAATGACAGCAGTTTCTCATCTGAAACCATGAGACCAGAAGGAAGTGGCACAACATTTTTCAAGTGCTGAAAGAAAAGAACTGTAAGCCATGAATCATCTTTCTGGTGAAAATATCCTCAGGATTGAAGAAGGAAAACGACAAGAATTTGATGCTGGGAGACATATCCTTAAAGAATGGCTAATGGAAGCTCTCCAAATAGGAAGAAAGCTTGGACCTTCAGAAGTAAAGGAAGAACAGTAGGATGGGTATATAAAAGTAAACATAGCAGAGAATCTGTAACCTTATGAGTTGCTTTAATCATGTTTTATGGTTCAAGCAAAAGTTTAACACCATCTAATATGGTGTATAATAAATATAGAGGAAGTACTTCAGATAAGGGACCTACATGGAAAGGATAGTTTGAGGTGGTAAACCATCAGTATCAGGAGGCTGTGATAAGTTACACATATGCATAAGAAAATACCTAGAGCAACCATGAAGCCCACTACATAAGGGAACACACTCAAAAACATTACAAATAAATCAGAATAGAACACTAAAAAAAAGTTCAAATAATCCATGGGAAGGAAAGGAAAAATAAGGTACATGAGAAACAGAGGAAATACACAGAAAACAAAAAATGGGAAGCTTAATTAAATATCAGTAATTACATGTAAATGGTCTAAATATACCAATTACGTGACAGAGACTGGAGAGTAGACAAAAACATGATCCAAGTCTATGTGGTCTGTAAGAAGCTCCCTTCAAAAGTAACACACAGGTTGAAAGTAGAAGGATGGAAAAGATATATACACACTAATTTTTAAAAATCTGGAGTAAATATGTTAATATCACATAAAGTAGACATTAAAGCAAAGAGAACTACTAGAGACTTAACATGATAATAAAAAGATGAACCCAACAAGAGGATAACAATCCTAGCTATACTCGTGGTGAACACAGCACATACAAACTTGTCCAGTCATGGTGTTATACCCCTGAAACTAATGTAACATTGTGTGTTAGCTATACTTTAATTGAGAAAAAAGAAGACAACAATCCTAAATGTGTATGCACCAAACAACAAAGCTTCAAAATACATGGACCAAAACCTGATGGAGTCAAAAGAAATGATAGACAAATACAGCAATTCTACTTGGGGACTTTGGTACCCCAGTCTTAGCAGTTAATAGCACTATTGAACAGTCATCAGGGATTTGGAAGAACTGAACAACACCTTCAACTAACAATATCTAATTAACATTTATAGAACGCTCCACCTGCCAACAGACTACATATTCTTTTCTAACAAACATTGACCATTCACATAAATAGACCATATCTTGAGTCATAAAACAACCCTTAACAAATTTAAAAGAATTGAAATCATACAGTATTGAGTCACAGATGTCTTCTGACTGTAGTGGAATCAAACTAGAAATCAATAACAGACACCATGAAAATCTCAGAACACTTGGAAATTAAAGAACAGGCTTTAAATAATTCACAAATCAGGGGTGCCTGGGTGGCTCAGTCGTTGGGCGTCTGCCTTCGGCTCAGGTCATGATCCCAGGGTCCTGGGATCGAGCCCCGCATCGGGCTCCCTGCTCTGCAGGAGGCCTGCTTCTCCCTCTCCCACTCCCCCTGCTTGTGTTCCTGCTCATGCTCTCTCTCTCTCTGTGTTAAATAAATAAATTAAAAAAAATCTTTAAATAATTCGCAGATCAGAAAGGAAATCACAGAGAAAATTCAAAATTTCATAGAATTAGGGACACCTGAGTGGCTCAGTCGGTTAAGCATGTGCCTACGGCTCAGGTCATGATCCCAGGGTCCTGGAATCGAGTCCTACATCAGGCTCCCTGCTCAGTAGGGAGTCTGCTTCTGCCCCTCCCCTCCAGTCATGTTCTCTCTCTGGCTCTCTCTCTCTCTTAAATAAATAAGATCTATAAAAAAAAAAATTTCATAAAGTTTAATGAAAAGTAAGCAAAGCATGAAAATGTGTGGAATGCAGCTAATACAGTGCTGAGAAGGAATTTAATGCACTAAAAGCCTACATTAAAAAAGAGGAAATGATTTCAAATCAATAATCTATGTTCTTATGTCAAGAACCTCTGGTCTATCTTTTCATAGATGTTTATATAGGAGACAGCCTTGGAAAGTAGCAAAAGGTGGAGTGCTTATTGTCCAGTATAAAGATAGTATCTAACTCCAGAGCAAAGGACAAGCATGCTTACAGTCCATTATAGAATATTCAGTTTTCCTAAGTTCAGGGTCCCTCTCCTTTAACAGAACCTACTGTGTGTGCAAGTGTCACTTAACCCTCTTCCCATTACCCTATGGGAATTGGAACTCAGGAAACTGGTGCAGAAACCACCCCCCAACCCCCCCGACATTCTGGCTACTGTTGTTGCTGTGAGTAGTAAAGTCCTTTGTTGGTGACCCAGAAGTCTTGGATCTTCTGCCAGCACCCATGTTAGTTTGCAAGTAAGGTAAAATCTCAGGCCCTTCACAGCTTTTGATGTATATTCATGTAAAAACCTGCAAGCAAACGTTTGTAACAGCTTTATTTGTAAATGCTCAAAATGGGAAATGACACAGATGTCCTTCAACAGGGAATGGATAAACAATTTTACATCCATACAATGATGGATGCTACTCATTCATAAAAAGGAACAAACTCTCGATTCATAAAATAGCTTGGGTAAATCTTAAATGCGCTTTGGTAAGTGAAAGAGGCTCAACCCAAAAGGCTATATACTGTGAGGAGGAGGGAGAGGTTGAAGTTCAGCTTCCCCACTTGGACTCTGAGGGGTGGGGCACCTCGAAACTGCTGGGTAGGAGTGGACACGGTTGGGCAGGGAGGACTTGTTACACTTGGTGGGGGTGAGAGTCTTGGCTCACCACTTGGCCTTCTCTGCCACCACCCTGGTAGGAGCGTCAGGGCATTTTATTTTATTTATCCTACTTGACCTTCTTGGGTCCATGGGTTTATGTCTGTCATTGTTTTTGGAAAATTCTCAGCCCTTTTTTCAGTTATTTCTCCTATCCTGTTTTCTTTGTTGTATTTCCAGTTATGCACATGTCAGACCATTTGATATCATCCCACAGCCCTTTGATGCGTTTTGATTACTCTTTGTATTCATCTGCATTACTGTTTTTTTTTTTTTAATTTCATTACTGTGTTTTTGATGTTTAGTGTATCCATTCAGTTATTTCTTAAGGTTTTCATCCCTCTGCTGAAATTACCCATCTGGTCTCCAGCGTTGTTCACCTTTGCCATTAGAAATTTTAATGTATTAATCACAGTTCTTTTAAATTTTCTTTCAAATAGTTTCAGCATCTGTGTCATACCTGAATTTGTTTCTGATGAGTACTTTTATATCTTGGTAGTATGTTGTTTCTTTCTTTTTAGCATGCTTACTTTTTTTGTTGTTGTTCTTAAAAACTAGACATCACATGTAGTATATAGACACTGAAATAAATATTATTTATGTCTGGAAATGAGCATACCTTTCTTTTTTGGGGGAGAGGCATAAATTTAATCTAATCCAGAGCTGGGCTAGGTTTGAGGTTTGTTTGTTACTGTTACCTCTGGTGCACATTCCCCTCAAATTCTTGTGGTGGTACTTGGCTTAGGGTCGGGGATGATGTCCTAGAGACTTATTCTTCACTGTCTGCTCCACCCTCAGATTTTAATTTTCCCTTCACATTGGGCCTCAGAGAGAGTCTGTCTCTTTACAAGTTCCTTGCTAGTCAGGGTTCGTAGGGTAGTGCTGGGGTGGGTGTTCTCATCTTAGGCAGGCTGGTGTCCCAGAGGCTCAGGGGTGTGTTCCTCTCAGTAGTTCTGAGCCCAGCACCTAGCCTTGCTCCTTTTCCAGGTGTGGAGGGTTTGGTTTTTCCCCCTTTCCTTCCCTCTGCTGTCCTGGATTTTCACCAGTGTCCTACGGGTGACTGTGTTCCTTGCCCCCCTCCCGCACCCCCCCACATTCACACATTAGGGCTTTTATTCTGAAGGTGAGATGGAACATAAGAGTTCCTGTGTCACTGTTCTTCCCCAGTTGTGCTCCATGAAGGAGACTTTCTTGGGCCAGTCTTTTCTGTGAGCACCCTGTGGGCTTTATGGTGAAAAAGCCTTCAAGAGAATGCAGATTTCCCGTCTGTTGGTGGCCTGCGAACCTTTACCTTCTCACCAATATATATCTGGCTAGCCTCTACCAATTTGCCAATCCCCCCAGGCAAACTCTTCTTACTAGTGTCTGCTGCATCTCATGCCAAGGAGCAGTGTTTGCATCTAACTGGTCTCTGCACGGGCCTGTCTGTCTTCACGTTTGGGGCCAGCTAGTTGCCCTGTGACCTGAGCACTCTGATGAGCATAACGAAAGGCATTTACTTGTTGTTTGTCTGGCTTCTTTGTGTTCTAAGTTTGGCAGTGACACTCTGGCCAGTGCTCTATATCCTTGGGCAGAAACTGCAGGGGTTTTAAAAACACAGTTTCTTTGCTCTACCCCAGATGGCCGATGTTACCATGCTCACGTTTGACTAAATCCCGGTTTGCCCTGCCAGGCTTGTATTCAGACTGTATATGTAAGCTGTGTTGACAGCCGACTGAACAGTAACAGAGTTAGTGCCTCACACAGAAAGACACAAAGATGAACTTGCATTAAGAGCTATGTCATCAGGACAGGAAAGCCATAGTCCTGGCTTCTAGCAGTCCTGGAATTGTCTGGATAGAGGCTTTTCTGGCACACCCAGGGATCTGGCTCCTTGGAATTATTGGGTTTAAATTATTATCTCAATATAATTTTATCTTTTATTTCACAAGTATTTTTCTCTTTTTTTTTTGGAAGCAGAAAATAAATAACAGTTGTTTGTGAGATTTTTCTTGAGATTCAAGTTTGTGCTTGATATCCCTCTCTCTCTTCTTTGTAGATCGGAAGTTCCACAAACACCCTGCATGCCCTGCAAATTGCTTTTGCCGATGAAGAAACACAAGTAATCTACCTTTTGACAGATGGGAGACCTGATCAGGTACTTACCAAAGTTGGGAACAAAAAGGGAGTCACCAGTACCCTGGAAGCAAATGCCGAGAATGGGGTTGAGGGACATTTTCAACTGCTTGAAACAGCTTGTAAAGCTGTTGAGAGATGTTTCCTTGGCTTAGGGACCCAGAACTGAGGTGACAAAATACACTGAGGAATTCCTTTGCTGAAATGCGGAGGAGAATTTATATGACAGCAAGTGTTGTCTGGTTCATGTGCCACACACCCACAGGCCTGGAGACCAACTCCATGAAAGGAGTTATCCACCTTTTCATTGAGGACTGGTTTATATTTTGTTACAAACTAAGAGTAAGGAGATTCTTTTTGATTTTTTTTTCCTTTGGGGACTCCAAATCTAAACATGTCACTGCACGATGTCCTTGGTTTTACCCCTAATTTTAACTTAGTAATCATTTAAACAAAAGCATGCCTTTCTAGTGAAATGTTCTTTGTTTTGCTTAGCCTGACTGGAAAGTATTTGAAAAGTTTTAGTGGCGTCTGTTCATCTTCTTTTAGCTTTGTGAATGAAAGACTAATGCTCTGGGCATTAAATAAACATATGGATTTGCAGGCGAGTACAATGTAAATTAACCGCTGAAGTGAATTAGTATCAACTTGCATCCTTCATTGTGAGGTTTTTGCATGTGAAGAGTGCTAGGCAAATACTGTAAAATATCCTGCCTCAAATGGTCCAGGGCTTAAATAGTAAAGCAACTGGATTTTATTACAGCATTAGATTTATGGCAGAGAAGTTATATGTAAAGTGAAATTTTGGATGATTTTCCTATCAACTTCACTATGCTTTCTATTCAAAACCAATTTATTGTGCCTTGCTTATGTTCCATGTGGGTTGCCAAGGTTTGAGGCTACAAGCATGAATAGTATTTTACCCCTGCCTTAGGGGTGTTTACGCTTTGGAGGATATGCTAGACATGTATGGTTAACTCTGATCTGACACAGGGTGTGGGGTTGTCTGTGCTATGAGATGTCTGGGAGCAGAGTGATGAATATTGCTGTACAAGATGGAGAGAAGGCTGGGGAAGGTTCCACTAAGGAGGAGATGTTTGAACTGTGTCTGGAAAGAGGAGAAAGAATTTTCTAAACAGAGGAGATTACTGGTGTCCTGGGCAGAAGGAACAGAGGTGTGGAAATATGTGGGCTGCCCAGAGAAACAATCTGAGAGCAAGGGCAATGATGGAAGAGTGTTGGGTTGAAGCTGGAAAGTTTGGCTGGGGGAGATTGTCCTTGATGGCCACCTGGAATGAGTGGGTAGGCTTTACTACAGTTGGGGGGGGGGGCTCAGTGGGGCAGGTGGTCCCATTCACCTGTACTTTAGGCACATGTCAGGTAGGAAACAGAAATGTAGAAGAGAGGACTTTCCTCAGAGATGAGATAATAGAGTAGCATCAAAGGACTTGGTGACCAGTTTGGGAGCAGAGGAGGACAGAGTGAGGAGAAGATGGGGGCAAGAGAAAAAAGAATCACGATGTGACTGATTTCTGGGTTATAATTATGTTAGTAACTGACTTAAATTTAAATTTGAAGAAGGAACAAGCTCGGGAGTTGCTGGTGGAAGAAGTCGAGTTTGAGCATCTATAGTCCATGGATGTCCAGAGGCCCCTAGAAATATGGGGCTGGTGTTTGGGGAAGATGGGGGCTAGAGATTCTGATTTGAAAGTCATCTGGACAAGGGGTCTTTACCTTTTTAATAAACTCTTACTGATTTCACTGTTTGCACTGTAGGCCATTTAGAAAATATAGATAAGCATATAAGCATAAAAAAGAAGAAAGTTTAACTCAGTCTGTGTTATGCATTTTTTTTGCAAGTCATGAGAAATTCTTTCAAAACATCATTCTCAATGACTGCATCATATTCCATTATATAGATTTAATATAACTTCTACCTTGGAAATTAATTTTGTTTATTTAATTTTTGAATAATAATACATTCACATGGTATAAATTACAAAGGTACAAAAGGGTATGCAGAGAAGATTCTCACTCCTACCTCCTATTCACTAGCTAAGAGGCAATATGTTATCAGTTTCTTATATCTTCTTTCAGAGACTGTTATGCAAGCAGAAATGTGTTTTTATATATTCTCTTTTATAAATATATAAATGATGCTGTATTACACACATGATTTTACACCTTTATTAATAAAACAATATGCCTTGAAAATTGCTTAATATATAAAGAACTTCCTCTTTTTTTTTTTTTTTATAGCTGCCTAGTATTCCTAGAGATGGACATTGAGGTTGTTTTCAGTCTTTCTGTTATACACTATGTTGCAAAAGTAGCTGTGCACAGACGTTTTGCATATATGTATATCTGTAGCATATAGTCTGAGAAGTAGACTTAGTCCAAAGGTATGCCTTTTGATAGATACTGCCAAATAGTCCCCCAGGAGGTATGGACCAATTAACACTCCTGTTAGCTGTGTATTGGGAAGGATTCTTGATCCACAGTGCACCATGTACTTCTGAGAGTCTGGAATCTCCCAAGAGTGTATACAAAATGTACTTGTACATTTCTCTGGGGAGAATAGCCCTCCCTAGCTTTCACCAGAGGGTCTCTGGTCTGCTTAGAGATTAAGAACTGTGGATACAGATGATAATCGGAATCAGAAATATACAGGCCACCTGAAAAGTAATTTATAAACTCCTAGTTAGGCACTTTGTGTTCATATCTGCCTTTTCTCACATGCAGTCCATTTCTTCTGCATTGTCCCTCAGATTCTCTCCAAAAAGCAAATGAATATTTGATATTCGTGTTCTGTGTAGAGGACATTAAGATGTATCACTCGATCTCCATTTCTTTTTGAATTTTCACTGACTTTGTAGGACCTGAATATGTTAAGGCCGGTGCTATTATTCCCAATATTCAGCAAAATTTTCTGCTTGAAAGGACACACAGAGGTGATGTTCAGGATTTAATTCCATAGATACCAGCTTACTGCTTATTTGGAAATGTCCAGGGAAGAATTTCATAGCAAGATAAGTCTTAAATTAACCAAGTTAAAAGAATTCTAGTAATGTTAGTCATCATTAAAATGGAATTGCTAGGTGTCCTTCGGTGGGCATCTCTAGGTGTGAATGGACACAGCCCCGCACAGTCTTTGGCTGCATTTTGAGGCTTCTTTGAAGTTAGGAACTTACCTAGCAGGAATCGAGAAAATGGGAGTGAGGAAGGCTTCTGCACCATTCTAAACAAAAATGAATGGGTAAAGCTTAATATGAGCTGGGCAAGGGGTGGGAGCACAGAGAAGGCACGGGTGAGCTGCCTGCACAGACGAACCTCCTTCAGGAGAAGTTAGGAAGGTAGGAGAACCTATCCCTGCCGTTCTTGCCACCCCAAGTTGACATTTGTGGTGAAAGGGTCATCTGGCTGCACATCTGTTTAGATTCAGAGAGGAGGGAACTGGGGAGAGTCTCTCAGCTATGCTGCTTGGCCTCATTTAGGGACTGAAGGGACTTCTGTGGGGAACATACGAAGGAGTCCTGGGCTGAGAAAGGCTTCTTCAGTGGTGTGTAGGAGTTACACAGGGAGAAGGCCCACTACTTTCTAGTAACAGAGCTACTAGAGTGAGTGGCTGGAAGGAGTCAGGGTCAGCGAGGCTGGTGTGGTAAAAGGTGTACTTCCAGGTTCTGAGTCTCCTCTTCAAAGCTGTGAGGGCATAAATGAGGGAGAGGAATTTGAGTGGGGTACAGGCAGGAGGTCAGGAATGGCTATTTTCCACCGCAGACATGGAGCTCCTTCTGCAACACCCCCACTCTCTGTGCAGCTCTCTACCACCACACTGGGTACTAGAACATCATGCCAGTTTAGAAAAACACTACCTAAGGCTGGATGCATGTGGGGGGCTCAGTACGATACACTAACAGACTTTCTCATGCCTGTGCGCTCTTCAGCTGTATGGAATGATGGAAATGGTTTTGGAGCTAGAGACCTGGGTTGGAAGCACACCCCCAACACTGCCCATCTGAATGACCTAGGGCAAGTCCTGTACTGTGAATTTCCTCATCTCTGCCTTAAAGCCAATACTCCCTACTCGCAGGGTTGCTTTGAGTAAATGAGATGATGTTCCCATGAATGCATTCCACAGATATTTGAGTACCTTTTATGTGCCAAGCACTGCTATCAGTCTGGGATACAGTGGTAAGCAAGATGAACAAGATGCCTGTCTTCGGTGGAGCTTATGTTTTATAGGGAGATAGGCAATGAGCAAATAAATATATGAAATAATGTCAGGTAGCATATGAACAGATTAAAATGCTACCCATGGTACCTGGCACCCACAGTCAGTATTAAATCAATGTTAATTTCTTTCCCTTTCCAAATATCTCAGCTGTAACTCAGTGTAAGAATAGTTCCTGGCTAAAAGGCTATAAAATTAACAGAATTTAGAGCTAGCATCTGCATTCTGGTATCAAGGTCAGTGGCCAGGATTCACTGGTAAGAAACACGGATAGTAATAGTACCCACCTCAGAAGGTTGTCGAGAGGATACAGGTAGACAGCACGAACAGAACTCTTAGTGCTTGATACATAGTAGGTACTCAGAAATAGAAGCTATGCTGAATTAAGGGGAGGCAGCAGAGAGGGCCTTGCTCTGTGCTTGCATTTGACAAGAGGGATGGGGTCAGCTCGTTTAGGTTACTGTTTGGTTAGAAGCACGTGTTGTGATGAGCACTGGGTTTTATAGGCAACTAATGAATCATTGAACACTACATCAAAAACTAATGATGTACTATATGCTGGCTAACTGAACATAAAAAAAAAAGAAGAAGAAAGAAACCAGCTGATGGCCAGAGGGGAGAGTAGAGAAAAAGAATGAGAGGTGGAGGTGGGCTTATGAGCAGGGGCAGGCTCAATGCTGGAGCCAGACCCAGAGACTGAGGCTGTGTGTAAGTGGTAGCTAGAATGAGACCAGAACCTGGGAGACCACTTAACCAGCCACTTCCTGGGCAGTGTGTGAGCTGTACAAGGCCAGCCAGTCGTGTGTCTCCCTTTACACTCTGCTTTCCCAGGACGTGTAACATAAATATAGGAAAGGTTAAAGGCCAAATGATAGGAACTGGAAGTGGACAATGGAACTGGCTGAAGGAGCCAGCAAGTTGGGTTAATCAAAGAGGGACTCCTAGCACTGAGAAATGTAGAGGAAGTAGAGGCAGGCCAATCAGAGGCAGTTTCCGGAGGTTCTCAGCTGGGCTGTGGTGGTGTGGTGGAGAGATAGTAGGGGAATTCATCAGTTCTTTCCAGAGGGTTAGGTAATGTAAACATTACCTGAGAGTCAGTACTTATCAAGAGACAATTTTATTGCAAATGAAGGGGAACAAACAGTTTGGCATTGCTTCTAATACTAAAAATTGACTTTAAGTTCCAGACTTACTACTTAAGAGCTTGATGGCCCTAGGAAACTGAATCCTTCTGAGTCTCAATTTCTCCTTCTGTATGTGGGGCCCATACCTACTGGGCCAAGTAGGGTTGCATATTACTGGGGAGAAAAGTAGAGGAGCAGACAAATGATGGATGAAACAATGGAGAGATTTATATTCCTATGGATAAGAAGCCCAGCAGTAGGTAGTCTAGGTTCTAAAGCTACTCACACATGTCTCCAAGAAATCAGGCTTCTTTTTGTATTCATTCTCCACCATCTTTGTTTATTATTTCTATCCTCCTTGTTGCAAAATGGCTACTCCATCTTTAGGCAGTGTCCATTTTCCGTGGAGGGGGATGGGAAGGGGAAGAACATTAGAGTTTTTTGTTTGTTTGTTTGTTAAATCTTTGCCTTTTTATTAGAGAAAAGGAATCTCTTCCCTGGGACATCTGCCTATATCTCAAGGGACAGAACTGGGTCACATGGCTAAGTCTAGCTGCAAAATAGTGTCAGAAGATGAGTTTTTATGTGTGTGTGTTGTTTGTTTTAAACTGGGCACATTGCTATCATGAAAATAAAACCAGGGTTCTGCCAATAAAAAGGATGAGAGGAATTTATATGAGTAGGCAACTATCCATCTTTCTAACTACCTCACAAGATGGTTGTGAGGATTAACTGCCATGTTATACTCTCAACAGAGTGCCCAACACATGGAAAGACCCTCAATAACTCTCTTCTTTCACTTTGTGGGAGACATATTGACTATGGCCTATCTGAAGCTGGAAAATGCTCTTTTCAAGTAGATGTTTTGGAAGCTGCATTGAGATCCTGTAGCTTCACTCTGTAGAATCCCAATAGCCAGGGTGTTCTACCCTTATACTTTCAGTGCTCTAAAGTATAGCCCAACACTTTAAAAGCATGAACTCTAGGCTCAGGTGCACCTAAAATTGAGTGATTTCGTTAGTCACATCTTTCTTCCAGATTCTTTTCTCCACCAAATTTGAGCCCTCAGAGGCAAGGGCTGAGTCATTGGTCTTCAAACTCTACCATCTGGCAGTGTTTGCTTTGTTTATTGAATTGAATTGACACCTTTCCAAGAAGCTATTCATCACTGTATAAGGAATTACTGGTTGAGAATCTCACTGTCTATAGCAAATACTAAGGATTTTCACATCTTATTTTTTCTTTCTCTTTCTCTCTCTTTCCATCTCCCTGTTTCCCCCCTCAAAATGTATCATTTCAGCCAACTGAAATGGTTATAGACCAAGTCAAAGTTTTTCAGAAAATTCCTATTTACACCACCTCCTTCAATTATAATGATGAGATTGCAAATGGATTTTTGAACGAGCTTGCTTCTTTGACTGGAGGAGAGTTCCATTTTTATAATTTTGGCTGTAAGGATCTGTGTCCTCCAGGGACTGTTCAGGTAAGAGCTTAATGAATTGAGAAGAGAGCGTTCATTTATTTGAGCATTACAGACTGGAGGCCAATGGACAATACCTTAGTTGAGAAAATTGCCATAAAGACAATTAAGTTGAGCAAATAAAATCACCTAAGCATGTACTGCAAAATGTGGTCCAAGGACCATCTGAACTAAGGCATTTATGAAAATGCAGATTCCTGGGTCACACTTCAGAGCTGCTAAATTAGGCTCTAGGCATAGAGGCCCAGGAATCTTAATTAATATATTTTGTTTTTCTTCTAAGGTTTTATTATGGAAAGTTTCAAACATACACAAAAGTAAAAGAGTATGTGGACCCCCATCCCATGTACCCATCAGTCAGATTCAATAATTATCAACATTTTGCCAAATTTAGGAATCTGTATTTTTAACAAGCATCCCAGAGGGTCCCTACTTGGAGTTTGTTAACCACTGCTGTTTACAGGCATTTGTGGGAAACTTAAGAAAAATTCAGATCCTAGGTGGTTGTCTCCTGACTTCTCACACTGTATAACCACGGGACCATCTGATAAAGCATTTTATTCTAATGGGCTGATGGGAGAAGGTAAATAAAATTCTATTCTCCTGTCCTCTAATTTTGGCCTGAGGATATGCATTTCAAGATTGCCATTCTAGAGAATGTTTTTTATCTTATTGTCTGCCCTGTGGAGTCACTTTAAATACAGGACTAGCCAGAGTACCAATCAGTGCTTACATTTGAAGAAACCTACCAGAGTCTGGGGAATGAATCATCTGAAAGGGTTGGAGGGAACAATGACTTCTCTGAGCCTACACAGGGAAGGGAATAGTGACCACCCCCATCAGCTAGACTGGAAAGCCTCATAATCCAGTAAGCATTAGGAAGAGTATAAAGAAGGGTCTTGCCTCAAGAATATGAACAAGCAAATGCTGCTCCAGTTCTGCATAGAAAATATTAAATGCAAGACCCGAAAGGATCAGTCTATTTCCAAGGAACCTAATTGCGTCCCCGAACAAACCCCAAGAATAATTATAAGAAAGCAAAAATATCCATTACCCAAAAAAGTAAAATTGACAATTTCTGACATCCAATCAAAGAGTACCAGGTATGTACAGAAGCAGGAAAATACAGGTCCATAATGAGGAGAAAAAGCAGACAGAAAAATTAAAACATATGCATAGCTGACTCCGATGTTAGTATTAGAGCATTAAAACAGTTATTGTAGCTGTGTTTGATATGTTCAAAAAGAAAGAGACATGAAAGATACAAGTAAGACAAATAAAATTTTTAGAGATGATAACTACAATGTATGAGGTGAAAAATGCATGGAATGTGAGGAACAGCCGGTAAGACACTACAGAACAAAAAACTAGTAAACTGCAAGGCAGCAATAGAAACTATTCAAAATGTAAACAGAGAAGAAAGAGAAGTAAAACAATAAACAAGCAAGCAAAACCCCAGAAAATAGGGCATAAGTGAACCATGGAAAAATTCAAGTAACCTAATAAATGTATAATTGAAACAATAATGCCAGAAATTTTCCGAATTGGTTAGAAACTATAAACCCACAGATCCAAGAAACACAATGAATGCCAAGCACAAGAAACATGAAGAAAATCACACCAAGTCATATCAGAATTAAACTTCTCAGAAGTAATGCCAAAGAGAAAATCTTAAATGGATAGGGTGAAAGAAGACAAATATGTACAGAGGAACACAGATAAGGATAACAGCATATTTCTCATCAGAAGCAATGCACATGAAAAGACAGTGGAGTGATATTTTTAAAGTAGTGGAAAAAAAAAAAAAGCTAGTGTAGAATCTATACCCCGAAAATATCTTTCAAAAAGGAAAGTGGAATGAAGACCAAAGATACACAAAAACTGAAAGAATTCATCTCCAATAAACCTGCCATATAAGAAATATTAAAGGGAGTACTTGAGGCAGAAGAAAAATCATACCAGAATGGAAATACAGATCTACACTAAGGAATGAAAAGCAAAGGACAACTTCATGGTAGCTGCATGGTAATTGCATGGGTAGATATGTAAAGCTTTTTTTCCCTTGTTACTTAAATCTAATTATAAGTTAAATTACTTGAGGGACTTCCAGTTCCAGCAATAATGGTGTAGTCCCATTCCTCCTAGGTCCTACATCTTAACCTAAAAAAGACCTGGATAGAACAGAACAAATAAGCATAGGAATACTCTGAAAGGTGAAAAGAAGAAGGTAGAATTCCTGGGGACCTCAGAATTTAAGGAATGATATGGCAATAAGTCTTGGGGGATTTGTTAATGCCTTCCATATATCCCAGATAGGGCACTGCTGAACCCTCTAACCTGGAATCTCTAACAGGCACAGACCAAAAAAAAAAAAAAAAAAAAAAAAAGAAAAGACCCAAGAAAAGCTTATTCTCCCTAACCAAAGGACTGGGAAGAAGGTGACCTAACAACAGAAAACCTTTTTTATGATAATCACCTGCCATAATCCAGCCATACAACAGTGGAAAAACTGCACTCCTTTCCCTGAGATTTGAGTGGAGCTGAACAGAGAGCTGATCTTCCATACTACCATGGAAGCAAGAGATGGTGCTCTGATCCCTCTGCCAGGTGGGTCAGCAGAACTGACCAGAGAGCTAATCTTCCATCCCTTACTGCCAGAGTAGTGTGAGTAGGGCTGAATGGAAAGTTGATTTTCCAAACCCCACTAGACAGAGTAGGTGGTGCTCTAAATCCCATGCTAGGATAGTATCAGAGGATTGAGAGGGAAGCTTATTGTCCATTCCCTCTCCAGTGGAAGTCAGCAGTGCTCTGATTCTCCCACCATGGAGTCCAGTGGCAAACTGGACCTCTACCCCACCAGGCAGCTCTAAGACTTAACAAGGCAATGTGAGGTTGGTCTGGTCACTGCTGTGCTTCACCACAGCCCTCATCTCAGCAGGACTCAGCAAGGAGATGAACTTTCACAAACACTCAGCATCAGTGAAAATGCAAAAGGAAGTGTGAGTTAAAGATAGACAACACTCCACTTTCCCCCATCCCTGGTATCAGTGAGGGTTGATGTGGAGCTGAGCCTCCATTAACACCAAACAATAAAAATAAATGAAGTGTGAAAGGGGAGTAACCCCCACTGTGGTCCTCTCTGGGTGGAGAGCTGATCCTCCACCCCCATCCAGCATCAACAAGACAAAAGGAGGCAGTGCTATCTGGGGTTACTCAGTACTCTGACTCCCTACCCTTAGGATCTCTCTCTGTGAACAAAGTAGAGATTACTGGCCCATGTAAAGAGAACGAATTCCTAATTCCTGAACTCCTGACACTGGGGCAGCTTGCCTTGATGAAAATAACTGGAAAAAAAAAAATCACCAGATACACAGTTGTGCTCAAGTGAAAGTGAAATTTAGCTATGAGAGTCCCCAAACATATAAAAAGTGTGCTAGAAGAACAGGTTCACTGGGGTAGGTGGGCAGGACTAGCCAAAAGGACACAGCCACAAGTGGCCTAGTCTGGGAAGCCTCCTTTTCCCTACAGACCTGAGACTCTTCTCTGCACAGAGACAGAGTGTGTGGGAAGAACAGGCAAGAAGGACCCAGGCAGAGCAAGTGGTCCATTCCAGGAAAGCTCTCTTCCTGCAAGACAGGGGCCCTCCTATGCCACCCAGTGACACAGGACACCCAGGGGACAGCAGTAGAGGCACCAAGAAACACCTGGCAGTTTGACTAGGGGAAACTCCTTCTGCCTGCTCAAACAGCACCAGCAGAGACCAGTGGGAGTCCCAGCAACACCAGAGTAATAAAGAAGACCAAAGTAATATCAAAAAGGCTCTGAAAATTAAACTGCCATTGGAGCAAGAGCCCACAAAAGTAGGACAAAGTCTCACATGCTAAATTTAAACAGGGTTACTGCAAGCTAAAATAAAAGTTTTAAAATAGGACCCAGAGTCTCATAACACAATATAGCCATAATGTTCAGGATACAGTAAAAAATCACTCATCATACCAAGAACCAATAAAATCACAACTTGAACGAGAAAAGACCATCACATGATCCCAACACTGAGACAGATGAATTAGATGTTGGAATTACCTGACCAAGATTTTAAAGAACCTATCATAAAAATGCTTCAACAATCAATTACAAGTTATCCGGAGACAAATGAGCAAATAGAAAATCTCAGCAAAGGTGTAGAAGTTATAAAAATTTCCAAGTGAATGTTATAGAACTGAAAGCTATAATAGCAAGTAAACTCACTGCATAGGCTCAATGGTGAGAGTGGAGATGACTTGATTTTATCAGTGAATTTGAGGTCAGACAATAGAATTCAGCCAATCTGAACAATGGAGAGAACATAGACTGAAAAACAAAAAACAAAAAACAAAAAAAACAGAACCATGGGAACCTACAGGACAATAATTAAAGATCCAGCATTAGTATCATTGGAGTTACCCAGAGAGAAGAAAGAAAGGGGGGCTTAAAGACTACATGGAAGAATAACTGAAAACTCCTCAAATTTGGTGAAAGATAAAAACATACAGATTGAAGAAGCTGAGTAAACTCCAAAGAGGATAAACCCAAAGAAATCCAAGACACATGCCAAGACCCATGCCAAGACACACCATGTTAAACATTTGAAAATCAAAGACAAAGTCTTAAAAACAGCCCAAAAGAAATGACATCAAATTGAGAGTGGATTTGACCAAGGAGGCCAGAGAAGAAGTGGCACAATATTTTTCAAGTGTGGGAAGAAAAGAACCATCGGCCACAAATTTATATTAGACAAAAATATCCTTTGGGAATGAAGAGGAAATAAAAATATTCTCAGACAAATAAAAATTAAAAGGATTTGTTGCTAGAAGCCCTACTCTTATATTGACTACAGGAAGTTCTTCAGGCAAAAGGAAATGATTAAATAAGAAATCTTGGAGCATCATGAAGGAAGGGAGAAAGAGCAAAAATATGAGTAGATGTAATAGAGTGTCCTTTTCCTCATGAAATCATATTCAGTGATTGAAATAAAAATTATACCACTCTCTGATATTCTAGACAGTGATATTTAAAAGTAAAGAAGGTAAAGGGACCTAAGTGGAAGTGAGGTTTCCATATTTCCCTTGAAGTAGTAAAATGTTAATGCTAGTAGACTGTTGTAAGTCTCATACATATGCTGTCCATACCTAGAGAAGCCATTATGAAAACAATATAAAGAGATATACTCAAAAATATTACAAATAAACCAAGATAGAATTATTTAAAAAAAATTCAAGTAACCTGAAGGAAGGCAGGCAAAGAGAAACAGAGGAACAAGACCAATGAAACAAGTAGAAGACAAATAATAAAATAGTAAGTATTAACATGTCAATAATTACTTTAAATGTAAATGGTCTAATTACCCCAATCAAAAGACAGATATTGGCAGAGTGGATAAAAGAACATGACTGAATTATATGCTGCATACAAGAAATTCACATCGAGCACAATAACATAGGTAGGTTCAAAAGGAGAAAGACACACCAATAGAAATCTAGATTGGCTGTATTAATAACTAATAAAGTAAATATCATAGCAAATAAAATTTACATAATAAGATCAGTCTGCGAGGAATATATAAAGGCCCTAAATGTGTGTGCACAAACCAATACAGTTTAAAAAAAATATATGAGGCAAAAATTGATAGAGCTGAAAGGAGAAATAGACAAATACAAAATTATACTTGGAGACCTCAACACTTCTCTCCCAGCAACTGACAGAAACTACTAGAAGCAAAATCAGCAAGGACAGAGAAGATCTAAACAGCACAGTCAGCCAACAAGATCTAATTGCCACAGATAAAATACTCCCCACCACAACAGCTGAATACAAATTTTTTTCTAGTGCTCATGGTATACTTATTAAGATAGGCTGTGCAATGGGCGATAAAACAGACCTCAGCTAATTTAAAAGCATTGACTACAATAGCTGAATTATGGAAATAGCCCAAATGTCCATCAACTGATGAATGGATAAAGAAGATGTGGTATATATGTACAAAGGAATATAACTCAGCCATAAAAAAGAATTAAATCCTGCCATTTGCAGTGACATGGATGGAGCTAAAGAGTATTATGCTAAGTGAAATAAGTCAGTGAGAGAAAGACAAATACCATATGATTTCACTCATATGTGGAGTTTAAGAAAGAGAACAAATGAACAAAGGGGAAAAAAGGAGAGGTAGGCAAACCAAGAAACAGACTCTTAACTATAGAGAACAAACCAGTGGTTACCAGAGGGAAGGTGGGTGAAAGAGGGGATGGGGATTAAGGAGTGCACGTGTTGTGATGAGCACCAGCTGATGTATGGAAGTGCTGAATCACTATATTGTACACCTGAAACTAATATGGCACTATATGTTAACTAACTGGAATTCAAATAAAAACAAAAAAATAAAAGCATTGAAATCATGGAGTTTGTTCTCTGACCATAATGGAATCAAATGAGAAATTAGTATTAGAAAGACAGCATGAGGGGCGCCTGGGTGGCTCAGTTGGTTAAGCGACTGCCTTCGGCTCAGGTCATGATCCTGGAGTTCCGGGATCGAGTCCCGCATCGGGCTCCCTGCTCAGCAGGGAGTCTGCTTCTCCCTCTGACCCTCCTCCCTCTCATGCTCTCTGTCTCAAATAAATAAATAAAATCTTTAAATAAAAAAAAAGAAAGACAGCATGAAAATGTCTAAACACGTGGAATTTAAACAACACAGTCCTTGATAATCCATAGGTCAAAGAGAAAGTCTCAAAGGAAATTAAAAATACTTAGAACCAAATGAAAACAAAAACACCATATATCAAACTAGTGGGATACAGCTAACACAGTGTTGGGAGTGAAATTTATAGCACTAAATGCTTAATGTTGAGAACAAGAGAAGTTATTGAATCAACAATCTGAGTTCTTACCCCAAGAAACTAGAACAAGAAGGGCAAAATAAACCCAAAGCAAGCAGAAGGAAGGAAACAATACAGATAAGAGTATGAATCAATATAATTGAAAATAGGAAAACAATAGAGAAAATCAATGAGACAAAAAGCTGTTTCTTTGAAAAAAAGACTTACGAATTGATAACACATCTTGGAAGGCTGACAAAGACAAAAAGGGCAGATACAAAGAACTAATATCAGGAATGAAATAGGGGATATCATATTAGATCTTACAGCCATCAAAAAGAATATAAAAGGAATACAATGAACAACTTTGCACTCATAAATTTGACAACTTAGGAAAAAATGGGCCACTTCCACACAAAACAAAAACTACCACAAATCAACCAAGATAGAATGCACAATGTGAATGACATTAAAATAAATATTTTTTCAAGAGAAGTGAAAGCAGATGTCCCTAAGACTTGTACACATATGTTCATAGCTTTGTTTATAATAGCTCAAGCGTGTCCCTCAACAGGTGACTAAGTTTTGGTATGCAGTATGCAATCTAATGCCACTCAGCAATAAAGATGAATGAACTCTTGATTCATGCTGCAACATGGGTGAATCTCAAAATAATTATATGAGTGAAGGAAACTGGACAAAGAATACATACTGTATGATTCCATTTATATAAAATTCGAGAAAATCGAAACTAATGTATAGTGACAGAAGGAAGATAAGTAGTTGCTTAGGAATGGGAGGAGAGGGTTTTTGGGGTAGGGAGGATAGCAAATTTACAAGGGCACCTGAGAAGACTTTTGGGGGTGACGGATATGTCTGTTATCTTGATTGCAATGAAGATTTTACAGGTGTGAATGTCAAAACTATTCAAATGGTACACTTTACCTGCATTCGGTTTATTGTGTATGAATTATACTTCAATAAAGCTGTTTATTAAAATGGAATAATATGAGAACTACATGAAATTCTTTAGATTCTTCTTTTCCTGATACAGTTGGTTTTCTGTTATAAATGTTTGAAATATGAACTCTTTTATACAATTTCACAATATATTTACTTGTCATTTTGGCAGAATGAAGATCTGACTCTTTTAATTAAGGAAATGGAGCAGGGACGAAGTGACCTGGAGAAGGTGCAAGACCTTTATTCAGAGTCCTTGATCATGGATTGGTGGTACAATGGAGAAAAGGAAGGGGACAATAAGTAAGCATGCCAAAGCCCCTGTTTTCCCCATCACTGGGGAAATTATCTGCTCAGATGCTCTGCTCGCTCTCCTTGACTCCTCTTCTTTCTGCGGTACTTTTGGGATTTCTCTTAGTGAAAAGAATCACATAGAATGATTATGTTAGAATTTTTTTAAGGAAGAAGTCATAATCTAATAATTTAATTATCTAATATATGGCTTAAGGAGGCCACATATTTACCTTTAAATGTAAGTTCTGAAATCCTTGTGTGGCACTTAGAGCAGTGTTAACGGTTCATCTCCACCCAGTATGGATCGGCTCCCCAACCTCAGCCATGATAGAGCACAGCAGGAGTGCTGTGTAGTGCAGGAGATTTGACTCAGGGATCAGGAGGCCCAAGGGTTTGGACTTCGCTCTGTGTGATCTTGGCGAATCCCTGACTTCTCTCCACACCTGTCCATTGCTGTGAGTCTCGGTTTCCTCTTCTTTAAAATGGTGGCTGTGGTGGTAGGATTTGGGATAGATAATTTCTCGGGTCCTTTTCTACCCTATATTCTAATATGTCTCTAATTAGTAATTTTAAAACAAAAATCAGAACCACTCCAACACTCAGGAAGGGTGTCAAATCTTATTAAAACAATTTAACATTGTACAGATATTCAAATATCACAGCTTCATATGAATACTCTATCAGGAGGATGTCTTTTTATTTAAAAGAGCTATAGCTAGTGGAAAGAAGTTAAAAATACGTTTATCCATCAGGATTTCATCTTCATCAAAATTCACTATCTTCCTGTTAGCAAATTAAGCATTAATATGGGCGGGGAGCAGGACATGAGCAATGGAATCAGTAAAAAGAGATAAATGCTATACTGGGCCATCTTAAAATAAGGTTTTACAGCATTATTTTTAAAGTATTGGAAAAGCTCAGATACATCTAAATTCAGAGAATTTGAACAAATAAACTAAAAGTCAAATAAATGGGTAGCATCTCAGTGTAAATTACCCTTTGTACCTTAACTGTATTCTTACCCTGTTTAATCAAACTAAAAATCTCAGAACAAAATGACTAGCTATTGTTTGGAAGTTGGCTTAGTCAGTTCACTGTATCTGCCATTGATTGAGTAGTTGGTGCATTCTTTTTTATATTTTTTTTATATATTTTTTTAGGGGCTGGATAGGGCAGGTTCTGGAAGTCATTCAAAAAAGTGTTTTAATCCAGCTTCCCACCATTACATATTGGGTAAATTTGGGCAAGTTACTTAACCTCGTGGAGCTTCAGTTTCCTTATCTACAACATGGGAATAATGGTAGTCATAGGGTTGTTGGGGAGATTAAATGAGGATATGCCTGTCATATAATAAGAGCTCCTAAATTAACATAAGGGAAAGAATAAAACTCAGTGCCTCATTCTACAGGTAGCATGCTTCTCTCCTTCCTTAGAACATTAGGAAAAGTTAATTCACTGACTTAGCTACAGTCAAAACCAAATTGCTTTGTTCTAGCTTTCTACCAGGTGTAAAAATGTTTCAGCCTCCAAATCTCCTTTCCTTTCCTTCTTTTTTCAAATGTTTGTGGAGTACAGACCATGTGCCAGGCGAACTGGGATGCACAGATGAATATAAACCCAGTCCCTTCCATCACAAGATGCACAGTGTGGTGGGGGATACAGACATACATGATTATGGAACACTGGGGGTGGTCTATGAAGTAGGCATTCAGGTGGAGGGTGAAGGAGGGAGGCCATGCTTTACAGTGTTGGAGCAGGAGATTGTTCTGGAAACTTTCCTTTCTGTGGCTGCTACGTTCAGAGCTTCAGAAAAGATGTGTATGGGAAAATTATCAGGCATTTCTAGGGTCCCTCCTGGCCCTAGATCTTCACCAGAGTGGTTTCCTGTGATCTGGTACTGGCACAGGGGGTCCAAGGCAAGGATTTCCCTTCGCTGGCTTTTATAAGAGCTAGCTGTTCAACACTTTGGTTAGAGAAAGGGGTTTCCGTAAGCCTTTCTGGTTTACAACTGGCTCTCCCTCCTGTTAATTCCTACATCAGTCCCATAGAGTCAGTGAACACCTGAATTTCCCGAAGTTTATAGAGGAGGTAAATGATGAAGTTCAGAGAGGGCTGAAGGACCTCACCAAGTCCCACAGCCAGGAAGGAACAGAGCTGTGATGTGAGCCATATCTAATGACTCCACATCTGGGCCCCTGTTCACTCTTCTGCTTTGGGTGGGGAAAAAGATTCTTCCTTTTTTTTTTTTTTAAGATTTTATTTATTCATGAGAGAGAGAGAGGCAGAGGGAGAAGCAGGCTCCCCAAGGAGCAGGGAGCCTGATGCGGGACTCAATCCCAGGACCCTGGGATCATGACCTAAGCTGAAGGCTGACACTTAACCATCTGAGCCACCCAGGTGCCCTGGAAAAAGATCATTCTTAAATTAACCAAATGAGGGGAGGCTTCCTCCTTTAGTTTGTAGCATTCAACATGATTTTATTGATCTAACTCTGCCTTTTTGATGGAAATTTTGTGTTTTCCCCCTCCTTTTATTCTTTTTTTTTTTTTTGTCTATTTTTTTTGTCTAAAAACAGGCATCAAAAAGAAATCAGTTCTATGGTTTCAACCCCAGAAAAATATGCAAAACCTCATTCTGATGTCGAGTCAACACCAATGTCATCCCTAAATATGTTGTACTTACCAGAGGATCTTTCAAATCAAAAGATTCAGAAAAAGAAAGTCCTTCACGCAGGTATCAGTGAACAACATGGTTTGATTCTCATTACTGGTTTTCCTTCAATGCAATAAGGTAGAATAAAACTAAATCCACATAATATTTTAAAAGGAACCTAAACTTCTGGGGTTTTTGGTTTTGTTTTTGCTTTATTGACATATAATCAACAAGAACATTACATTGGTTTTAGTAGTATAACATAATGACTTGATATTTGTATATATTGACACATGATCACCACAGTAAGTCTAGTTATCATCTGTCATCACACATAGTTACAAAAACATTTTTTTCTTATGATGAAGACTTTTAAGATCTATGCTCTTAGCAATTTTCAAATATGCAATAAAGTATTAACTAGTCATCATGCTGTACATTACATCCCCATGACTTTATTTATTTTATAACTGGAGGTTTGTATCTTTAGACTCCCATTACCCATTTTGCCCACTTCCCCATCCCCCACCTCTGACAACAGTCAGTCTGCTCTTTGTATCTATGAGCTTGGTTTGTTTTTTGGTTTTTGTTTTTTTGTGGGTTTTTGTTTTTAGATTCCACATATAAGTGAAATCATTTAGTATTTGACTTTCTCTGTCTGACTTATTTCACTTAGCATAATGTGCTCACAGTCCATCCATCCATGTTGTGACAAATGGCAAGATCTCTTTCTTTTTATGGCTGAATCATATTCGTGTGAGCACGTGCACGTGTGTGTATAATGTTTATATATTACATCTTCTTTATCCATTCACCCATTGATGGACACTTAGGTTGCTTCCATATCTTCGCTATTGTACATAATGCTGCAGTGAGCATGGGGGTGCATATATCTTTTTGAGTTAGTGTTTTTGTTTTCCTTTTTTTTTTTTTAAGATTTTATTTATTTTTTTGACAGAGAGAGACACAGTGGGAGAAGGAACACAAGCAGGGGGAGTGGGAGAGGGAGAAGCAGGCTTCCCGCAGAGTAGGGAGCCTGATGCGGGGCTCGATGCCAGGACCCTGGGATCACGACCTGAGCCGAAGGCAGATGCTTAACGACTGAGCCACCCAGGCTCAGTGTTTTTTTTTCCTTTGGCTAAATATCCAGAAGTAAAATTGCTGAATCATATGGTCATTCTAATATTTTGAGGAACCGCTATACTATTTTCCATAGTGCCTGCACCAATTTACATTCCCACCAGCAGTGCACAAGCGTTCCCTTTTCTCCACATCTTCACCAATATTTGTTGTCTTTTTGATTCTAGCCATTCTAGAAGTGAAGTGATGTCTTTTTGTGGTTTTGATTTGCATTTCCCTGATGATTAGTGATGTTGAGCATCTTTTCATGTGTCTGTTGGCCATCTGTATGTCTTCTTTGGCAAAATGTCTATTCGGGTTCTCTACTCATTTATTAATTGAATTATTTGGCATTTTTTGGTGTTGAGTTATATGAGTTCTTCATATTTTTTTTACTAACCCCTTATCAAATATATCATTTGAAAATATCTTCTCCTATTCAGTAGATTACCTTTTCATTTTGTTCATGGTTTCCTTCCTTGTGCAGAGTTTTTTATTTTGATGTAGTCCCAATAGTTTAATTTTGCTTTTGTTTCCCTTGCCAGAGGAGATATATCAAAAAAAAAAGTCTCTGTGGCTGATGTCAAAGAAATTACTGCCTGTGTTTTCTTCCAGGAATTTTATGGCTTCAGGTCTCACGTTTAGGTCTGTAATCCATTTTTTGAGTTTATGTCTGTGTATGGTGTGAGAAAGTTGACCAGTTTCATTCTCTTGCATGTAGCTCTCCAGTTATCCTGGCATCATTTGTCAAAGAGACTTTTTCCCACTCTCTATTCTTGCCTCCTGTGTCATAGATTAATTGACCATAAAAGTGTGGGTTTTCTCTGGACTCTCTATTCTGTTCCATTGATTTGGTGTCTGTTTTTGTGCCAGTAGCATACTTTTATGTATAGCTTTGTAGTATGTCTTGAAATTTGGGATTGTGATACCTCCAGCTTTGTTTTTCTTTTTCAAGATTGCTTTGGCTATTTAGGGCCTTTAGTGGTTCCTTACAAATGCCAGTATTATTTTTTCTCTGAGAAAAATATTGTTGGTATTTTGATAGGGATTACATTAAATCTGTGAATTGCTTTGGGTAGTATGGACACTTTAACAATATTTATTCTTCCAATCCGTGAGCAGGGACTATTTTACCATTTGTGTCATCTTCAATTTCTTTTTATCCGTGTTTTATAGTTTTCAGAGTACAGGTCTTTCACTTCCTTGATGATAAGTTTATTCTTAGGTATTTTATTCTTTTTGGTGTAGGTGTAAATGGGATTGTTTTCTTAATTTCTCTTTTGGCTACCTCATTATCAGTGTATTGAAATGCAAGAAATTTCTCTATATTAATTTTGTATCCTGCAACTTTACTGAATTCACTTATCAGTTCTAGTAGTTTTTTGGTGGAGTTCTTTGGGTTTTCTATGTATAGTATCATGTCATCTGCAAATAGTGAACGTTTCACATCTTTACCAATTTGAATGCCTTTTATTTCTTTATCTTATCTAATTGCTGTGGCTAGGACTTCCAGTACTATGTTGAATAAAAGTGGTGAGATTGGACATCCTTGTCTTGTTTCTGATCTTAGAGGAAAAGTTCTTAATTTTTCACCATTGAGTATGGTGTTAGCTGTGGTTTTTTCATATATGGCTTTTATTATGTTGAGGTATGTTCCCTCTAACCCTACTTTGTTGAGAGTTTTTATCATGAATGGAGTATTTATCATTTGTGCTTTGTCAAATGTTTTTTCTGCATCTATTGAGATGATTCATATGGTTTTTATCCTTTCTCTTGTTAATGTGATGTATCACATTGATTTGTGAATATTGAAACACCTTGCATCCTGGGAATAAATCTTGCTTGATTGTGGTGAATGATTTTTTTTAATGTTTTGTTTAATTCTGTTTGCTAATATTTTGTTGAGGGTTTTTGCATCTATGTTCATCAGAGATATTAACCTGTAGTTTTCTTTTTTTGTAGTGTCTTTATCCAGTTTTGGTATCAGAGTAATGCTGGCCTTGTAGAATGAATTTGGAAGCTTTCCTTCCTCTTCTGTTTTTTGGAATGGTTTGAATAGGTATAACTTCTCTTTAAATATTTGGTAGAATTCACCTATAAGCCATCTGGTCCGGAACTTTTATTTGTTGGGAGTTTTTGATTACTGATTCAGTTTCATTGATAGTAATTGATCTGTTCAAATTTTCTATTTCTTCCTGATTCAGTTTTGGAAGGTTATATGTTTCTGGAAATGTATCCATTTCTTCTAGGTTGTCCAATTTGTTGGCATGTAATTTTTCGTAATATTCTCTTATAGTTCTTTGTATTTTTGATGTGTTGGTTGTTATTTCTTTTCCTTCAGTTTCTGCTTTTATTTATTTGAGTTCTCTTCCATTTTTTTTATGAGTTTAGCTAAAGGTTTATCAATTCTGTTGATCTTTTCAAAGAACCAGCTCCTGGTTTTATATTGATCTGTTCTATTTTTGGTTTGTATTTCATTTATTTGTGCTCTAATCTTTATTATTTCCTTCCTTCTACTGGCTTTGACTTTGTTTGTTCTCCTCTTTCCAGCTCCTTTAGTCATATAGTTAGGTTGGGTTGTTGTGTGTTTTTTGTTTTGTTTTGTATAAAGTGTAAGTTGTACATTTTTTTTTGTATAAAGCATGAGTTTTACATTAAGATTTTTTTGTCCTATAGACGTTGCTCCAGCACCATTTGTTGAAAAGGCTATACTTACACTTACTCCATTGAATTAATTTTGTATCTTTGCCAAAATTCAACTGGGTATATCTGTGTGGGTTAAATCTGGGTTTTATACTTCTGTTCCATTGATCTTTGTATCTGTCTCTCCACCTATACCACAATATCTTGATTAATGTTCTACATGCCTTATTATCAAGTGCCATGATTCCTCCAACTTTATTTTTCTTTTGCAAAAATATTTTAGCTATTTTGGGGGGCCTGAAATTTTGTTTAAATTTTAGAATGTGGTTATTTATTTAAAGAAAACCTTGCTAGGATTTTGCCAGGAATTGCATTGAATCTATAGATTGATTTGGGGACAACTCACATCTTTATGATATCGATTCATCTAGTCTGTGAACACAATTCATGAATATGACCATATATTTAGGTCTTCTTTGATGTCTTACAGCAGCATTTTGTAATTTCCAGCTTAGAGATCCTGTACATGTTTTATTAAGTATATACAATTATTTCATTGTATTTGAAGTGATTGTAAATGGTATTTGTTTTCTAATATAGGTTTCCGTATGTTCATTAGCTCATTATGTTCATTAGTCTGTCAAAATGCAGTTGATTTTGTGTGTTGATCCTGTAACTGGCAACTTTACCAAACTCAATAGTTCTAGGAATTTTGTGTGTGTGTGTGTTTGTGTGTGATATGTGCTTGTGGATTTCTTGCCATTTTCTGCATAGACAATATGTCATCTACAAATAGGGACAGTTTTATCTTCCTTTCCAATCTCTCTGGCTTTATTTCTTTTTCTTGCCTTGTTCCAGAAGTTAGAACTTCTAGGACTATGTTGAATAAGAGTGATAAGAGTGGGCATTCTGGCCTTTTCCCCAGTCTTAGGGGAAAAGATATTCAGTCTTTCACTATTGTGAAAGATATTAACTGTAGATATTCTTTATCTGTAGATATTCATTCTGTAGATACTCTTTATCAAGTTAAGGATGTTCCCCTCATTTTTAATTTTCTGAGAGTTTTTATCATGGATTGGTGCTGAATTTTATCAAATGCTTTTGCTGCATCAATTGATACATGATTTTTCTTCTTTAGTCTATTGATATGTGGATTACTGATTGATTTTCAAATGTTAATCAACCTTGTATGTCTGGAATATTTTCCACTTCCATATTTTCTCCATGTATAACTCTTTTAGTACCTCGCTGGATGTGGTTTGCTAATACTCCATTGTGGGTTTTTATATCTTCTAAGTACATGAAGGATATTGGTCTAT